TCAATTCTCAACTACTTGAGGAATAGCTAACTGGTAAATAGATTCGTAAAATGTCCGGGTGTTTTTATTTTAAGTTTTTTTTATATTTTTTTTTTAATTTTTAAAATTGCAATGCCAGGCTGTCTTTTAATTAAAAGAATCAAAAAAACTTACGGTCAGTACGGATCTCCACCCATCTCCTGCCATGGGCCGGTTGAGGAGCGTGATTCGGATCATTTCTGTATACTTGGACCGCTTCATCGTTGCTAAAATAGCAACGATGGCCGTGGATCCAAGCAAGGGGAGCGACCGTCCACTCCTCGCCAAAATTCACCATCGCGAACAGGGTGTTCGCACGAATGTAGCGATCAGCCTCCTAAATAAGAAGAGAAATATTGAAAAGTAAGCTAAATATTTATAAGCTAAGTACAAATAATTTCATCAAAAATACCTCTTCCTTGTGAGGTACAATGACTGGTGCCATAGTGGATGTCAGCAATGAAAAACAAAGAATAACTGAAAACACAGCAAATTAATTATTAATTATAAGTAAAGTATCATAATAATTAATAAAGGAAGAGAAAGGATACTATATCATTAGTAGATAAGATACCATGTAATTGTTTGATTAAATTAATGATATTTTTGACGATACTAGTTCATCCTGATGTTACTCTTATCGAGACCTTTCATTTGAATACACACATGAAATTTTTCATGTATTTAATGTATGTGATATATATTATATATATTTATATAAAATATAAAACATTCATGTGGGTACTCAAATAAAAAGTCTCGATGAGTGTAACATCGACATGAGCTTATATTTTGAAAAATATCATTATCATTGGTTAACGAGATAAAATGTCATTTCTTAATTATTGACATTTTCTATGATATCAGCTTTATTCTTTATTCCGATGTTCCTCTCATACAGACCTTTTATTTCAATACCCAGGTGAATTTTTGATTTCATATATATTTGTGAAAAAATATATAAAAAGTAAAAGAATAAAAACTGGAAAAAATTCAAAATTAAAATAAAATTTAATTTCCAGAAAAAAATTTTTCCAAGTCAAGAATAATTTTTTTTAATCATTCGAATTCAAGAAAAAAAAATGAGGAAAACGGTTGACCCTAAAGGCCATCCCTGCAACTTCTCACTAACTTCATACCAATATGCTCAACATTTCACTGATTTTGTTTTTGAGCTCAAAAGTACAATTTCTGTGTTATTTTGAGTTCTCCGAGCTCAAAAAGATAGCTCCTTTATGCTTTTGAGCTTTTCGAGCTCAAAAGTCCGATAGCAGTTTGATAAAACACTATTTTTTGAATTTTCAAACTGCAATAACTCTTGAATGAATGGACCGATTTTTACGCGGTTGGTAGCATTCGATGCAGTTTTTGAAACCTCATAACGCATTTTTAAATTCAAATCGATCGAACGAGGAATTTCGAAGTAATTCCAAAAAAACACTTTTTTCGAAATTTTTCGTTTTCAATAACTCTCGAACGAATCAACCGATTTCGACGGGACTGGTGGCAATCGACGTGGTTTTTTAAGCTTAAGAGTGGATTAGTTTTTGGAATTGATCGGTCAAGCCGTTTTGAAGTTATTCCAAGAAAACAATTTTTTGAAAATTTTATTTTTGACATTTCTCAAAATCTAGCGAACCGAATCGATTCAAATTTTCACGAAATTTAATGGCAATGATACTCTCTGGATCGCCACCTATTTCGATCCGATCGGTTAAGCCATTCAAAAGTTATAAGAAGTTTACATGCATACACACATACATACATACATAAAGCCGGACGGACAACATCGCAGGAATAGTCAGGGAAGCTTCCTGTGACCTTAAAACGTCGAGATCTGATGAAAACACGATTTTTGCAAAACGGGGTAAAACCAATAACTTCCCGATTTTTGAAAATTTTCAATTTTCTTAGAGGGAAGTTAAAAATTAAATTAAAAAGAAATTTTCAAAAAAATTAGAGTTTCGAAAGAAAAACATTTTTTTGATTTGTGTAAAAAAATATTTAAAACTCGAATTTTGACAGAAATTGAAAAATAGTTTATTAATTGCAATTACATATTAAAATCTGTATTTCATATATAATTAATTTTTTCGAGGTTGAGTTTTTCCATTTAAATTTTTACAGGGTAGCAAAACCAAAGAATTCAGCTATCCGACAGATACTGCTATCTCGCGAGCTAACCGCGAATCAATTCCCTCTCCGGCGCAGCATCAGAGCAATGGCGTAGGCGGTGATCCCGCAATAAATTAATTTTTATCGCTTCGTGGGTGGCGGTTCTTTCTATTGGCCAGCTATCAAGCGCCTCCTACTTCATTCTTTACTCTCCTAAAATATTTTCCTCATCCCTTGTCTACTTTCCGCTCATTTTCTAACATTAATATTTCTTTCAAAATATCAATTTTCTTCTGATTTTTCTCTCCCGAGATAAACACTAAAAGAAGATGACGAAAGTTCGCGTCAATTCTAACCCAGGCGTTGAAGTTTCCACGATTGAAGTCTCTGCAATCGAGGAGATAAATTTTCCTAGAAAACTCCAGCATTTGATGACTTCTAATGAAGATTATCAAGCGAGCAGAAGGAAAACGGAGCACTTCTCTTCACTTGCATTACTCGGTACCGAGAGTTGAGCATTCTTCTTCGAGCATTTGCATCTCTTCTGCTCCTTTACTCTCGTATGCTCCAATACAAGTGAAGTGTAAGGAGCAAGGAGTGTTTTCTTCAACTCGGTACCAATACAAGTATGTGATGTGAATATCAAGAGAGACCAGGCCTGGTACCAAGCAAAGAGTAAAAGGAAATTGGCGAGCCTTGAGAGTGAGTGAGCATCCAACAGTCTACAGTCTACAGTCTGGATTGCCGGGGAGCTTAAGAGAAGCTGCCGAGTTCGAGGGAAGAGAAGTAAGAGATGTTCAAGAACCGTACGGGGAGAACCGTACAAGTACTCTTATATGTTTTTCAAGGAGGTATAGGTGAGATAAGGATGAACTCACCAGACGAACTGACTGACGATGTAGTTGAGGAAGGGGATTCAGTCTTGCCGCCACGTGCTTCACGAGCGCACGCCCCGCACTACGCCGGCCGGTCTCAGAATCCTTTTTATTAGTTATTATTTTCGAAAAACCCCAATCGAAGCCTCCAAGTTTTTTTTTTTTAATTATAAATTATTAACGCTAGTTTTTTTTTTATTTATTCATCATTTCTCTGATGGGATTTTATCATCCTGCTGATGGTCACAAGTGACATTTTCTCTTAGCCATTTTTAAGTGAAAAATTTTTTGTGTTATTTTGTTCTTATGTTAGTATTTTTATTTTGTGCTCCAGTGAGATTTTGTGTAAATTTTTATTGATAATTTTTTGTATGGTGGATCGATCAAATGATTTATTTTATTCCGAGTGAAGTTTTCCTTTAAATTAAATTAAAATTGAAGGTGAATATTCAAAGCTTACAAAAATAAATTTTTATTAAATTATTAAATAATTTTTTTAAATTGTTAAATTTTTATTAAGATTTTTTATTTCATTTCAAATTACAGAAATTTTATATTGGAATTTATTGAGAAGAAAATGAATAAATTATTAAAGTTATTTTTTTTTTAATATATCATTTTAGTTCAACTTGGAAAAATTTTTGATCAAAATTTATTGAGAAGAAAATATTAGAGTAATTTAAAAAAAAAAAATTAATTAATAATTTGATGATATACATGAGAATAAAAAAATGAAATGAAGATGATATCAAAAACGGTTGAGATAAAAGGGGTTAGAGGGGGAAAGTACAGGGAGAACGATGTCTGAGTCTGAACCGGTATGTGGGTATATAACATAAACGACTCTTAATTAATTTGTCATTAGTTAATTAGTATCGCGGTCGTAATGAGTAATGAAATATACCGGATGCCGAGCGTAGCCCAAGAGATATTTCCATGTTCGCATTTGATTTAGATGGTAGCCCGTGGAAAGGCAGAGGGACGAAGTATCAAAGAACGAGCTGCGACACACGTATACGCTGATAAACTGACTGCTCGGAAAAATCGCAGGGAATATACGGTAATTCATTTAGACTGGGCTTGATTTAATGTTCACCGGCTATTCTCAGCGAATTGTATAAAATACAATGTATTTTGCTGTATTATGAAATTGTTTTTTTAAACGTTCCCAACTCTAACGCCTTTGAAATCTTTCTCCACCCCCTGCCTCTACACAAGACACGCGGTTCAAATTAATATGCACTCGACACTGCAATTAACCGCGATATTTTTTACGCCTCCACCGTGAGATGTAAAAATATTTTTAAACGTGATAAAGGGTTAATAACCTTTCATTTTTTTCTGGTAATTATTTAACTTGAAATTTTAATATTTTTATTTTTTAATTTAATTATTAATTATTAGAAAAAATTTTTATCTTCTGGGAAATTTTATTGTTAAAAATCATGAAAAAAATTTACATCAGTTAAAAATTAATTTAAAATTTGAATGATTTATATATAATATTTATTATTATTGATATTAAAGTCAACTTTTTTATAAGAGCGCAAAAACTTTTCGCAGTTTTTTACTATTTACTAATAATGATAAATCATAATTATTAATACAAATCAATGATAATTTTTTTTCGCGATGTTATGAGCACATGTCACGAAGAAGAAGAAGAAGAAGACAGAGAACAACGAAAAAATAAAAAATAATTATCATTGATTAAAGTTCTATCCATAAAAGAAGTATTTTTTTTATTTAAAAACATTAAACGCCTAAAAAATGAGGGTAATATTTATCCTGTAATATTTACAGAGCAAAGTGGACAGTGGAGTGGACGTCAGACGAGATTGGACAACTCGGTTTGGCCTGACTAACAGACTCAGAATATAATCTAACCATTGAAGAAATAAACGAGTAAAAATGGGCAGGAAGTGGATGATGGAAGTGACAAACGGAAGGGCTCTCGGGAGCCCCAAGTCTCAAGGATAAACCTGGCTCCGGATGGACGTGGGCGATCTGTCGAATGCCGCAGGATTGGCTGCCAGTGGAGCCGCCGTTTTCGGTCCCGCCACTACTTCTGCCTCTCGATTCTCAAACAGAAACACTGTTAATATTAACATTGACAACAATAACAGTAATAATTTTATCGACAACGGTAATCCTGACAGCGGTGGTCAGGTCGGGGCCAGCTTTCACCCTAGCGCTGGATGGTGGACTCCAAGCTCGACGCTGGTCACGGCACCCGCAAACGCCGACGTGGTAAAAACATTTTTTAAAAAAGTTCCTCTAATAAAAATATAATGATAATAATAATTCCGGGTCTTTAAAGCTCATTGTCAGTTTATAGAATAATTTAAGCTCTGATAATGAGTAATAACTGCTTGAGAATTATTATGATTGTAATGTTGTGTGTAAAAAGGTTCGTCTGTTGTTGCTTCACGACTACGGATGGTGATTATCGTTTCTGCGTTTCCTCTTGGTCATTTCCCTCTTCTCTTTCCGTTTTTTGTATTAGCCAACGAGCGAGTCAGAGAGTGAAGGACCGAGTGAATGAATGCGGAGAGATTTTATGCTTGTGTATGACTATTATTACCTAATGAGACGTTACCCGACGGTACGGGTGCGATCAGAGTACACTGAGGGTGTCTTGGCTCCAGAGAATTATTGACCCAGGTCACGGTTTATCTCTCCGCGAGTACTTATTATTTATTTTATCATTTACTAATCTTTCATCTGTTTCAACTATTTTTAATTGTCTCGTAATTTTTATTTTTTGTTCAATAATATTAAACACATTGTGTCTTTAAAATTATTTTAGTTTAAAAAAAATTTTAAGGATAAAGTTCAGTTGAATTTAATTATACAATACTAGCAACCTTACAGTCACTAAGTGACTGCCGTGACTTGTAAACGATAAATAAATAAAATTTTGCTTTATTAAATAATGATTTTTGTTAAACTGCACTGTACACGGAGAAAAATTAATCATACTACCTAATATACAAAAATAGTAACTCTTACTATCTAAAATGGTAATAAAATTAATTAGTAACAAAATAATAGGTAGTATCATTGACAATGGTAATAGTTACTATTAATAATGGTAACGATTACTATTAAAAATAATAATTGTAATTATTATAAATTATAACTGTTACAATCGAAGATGGTAACTGTAACCATCTCAGATTGTCAAACTTCTGAAAGAAAAAATAATATAAATTTACCTAATTAAAGCCTTTATTTAGATCCATATTTTAGCTAATGTACATTTTTTTCTTTGAAATATTAAAATAATTTAAATTCCCTTCCAAATTTTTTTTTGAAAATTTGATTTTTTTGAAGATTTAAAATTTGTTTTTTTAAATTAAAATTTTTTTTTTTAATTTGAATTTTACTGAAAATTTTAATTTTTTTGGAAATTTCAAATTTTTTTTCAAAAATTTGACGTTGAAACTTGTTTTAGACAAATAAAAATTTAAATATATAATTTCAATCCGAATTTAATCCCGATTTTTTGTGCACTACAGCTGCTTTTAGTTTATTCAGAAATGCATCCACGCGGTAACGCAGATTCTTAATTTTTTTAATATTTATTATTAGCTTAGATAGTAGTTATTATTATTACTGATGGTAACTACAACCATCAGGTTATACTAGGAATTACGATTTTGATAATAGTAGTAACTAATTAAAATAATAACAGTTATTATTACTAATTACCATCATAATAGTAGTTGTTACCATCAGGATGGTAAATACTACAATTCAGATGGTTTACTTAATTATTTAAATAATATTTACTACTATCGAATTCAGTTAATAGATTTTAACATAACTAGATAATAAACTCTACTGAAAAATTTTCTCCATGTACTTTCTTAACTATTGTTAACGTTTATAAAGATATAAACTCATCCCGATATTATACTCATCAAGAGCTTTCATTTGAGTACCCACATGCATTTTGATAAATTTTTCATATATACATATAATAGCTGTTACTCGTCCGTAGAATTGCATTTTTAGATCTAGACTTGAAATTTAAGTAGAGTATTGTTTTGACTTGCAAAGATTCCAAATTCTGTTGAATTGGCATGCACCTTTTATCCATATAATTATTCGAGCTAATATTCATTGTAACTGTCAATGTGCAATCATTATAACTTATAACATTCCCGTGTCTTTCTTACAAAAATGAATAATAATTTATATGAAAAAAAAAATTTGTAATAAGCATTGAAATTTTTAGTTAAAGAAATTGCAGGTCTCATAAGTGAAGAAATCTGCCTATAGTATATAAACATAACTAATAGAACTAAAAAGTTTATTTTAAACAAATGACAATCGAATAGCATAAATTTATTTGCAATAAAAATTCATTATTTATAAGTAAAAAAAAATATAGGTTCCGGATAAGTAATCACCAACATATTATTTATTAAAACCTTCTCCGAAACAAGCTGCATTTTATGATATTAGTGAATGTTCTTCTATTCTGTTGGTATCCCAGTTGGGATGTCCCTTTCTTTCCCGCAAGAATTCCCGCAATAAAAGAGAAAAGGTAATTTGTCCCAGATGGGACAAAATCCATCGGACCGCAGTATAACCGGTCAAAAAAACCGACTTTCCATTTATTAGTATAGATATAATATATATTAATATATGAAAAATTGATGTGGGTACTCAAATGAAAGGTCTTGATGAGTGTAACATCGGGATGAGCTTATATCTTTAAAAATGTCAATAGTTCACAAGATACTAAATCATTTCTTAATTATATGTATCTAGAGATAGAGTATTTTCGAATGCAGCTGAAATATTTATCATCATAAATTGACTATTGGTGATGAGAATGATGTGAAACCTTGAAAAGGCACAACTTCAGGTCAAGACCTTTCCAACGATACCAAATATACACCATCCACAAAATTTTGCTCATTCTTTTAATAATATAGATTAATAAATTTATTTTATTTTTAATGCTAATTTATTTGTCGAGTAAAATTAAAAAATGGTCTAATAAAATTTTGTAAAAATGTATAAAAAAATTTCTTCAATTTTTTTTATAAAATTTAACATCTACAATAAAAAAATTCCTATTATTTAAGTAATAAAAAAAAAATATTAAATGACATTTAAAAAGAATTAACAAATATTTATGAAAAGAACGGTAAACAGTAATAAATAATTTATTATAATTTAAAGATGAATCAGTTGTGCCGAGTATGCGGTGAGCCGGCGGCAGGTTTCCACTTCGGAGCATTCACATGTGAGGGTTGTAAGGTCAGTTACACGAGTATTATATAGTAACATAATCTGAAAACTCCAATAATAAATTTCAATATCAATTTAAATTTCTTCTCAAGCTACCAATTCAATCTAATAAAATAAAACCTAATCTAATAAATTGCAGTCATTTTTCGGGCGGACTTACAACAACCTGGGAAGCATCTCCGAGTGTAAGAACGGCGGGGTGTGCGTAATAAACAAGAAGAACCGAACAGCCTGCAAAGCTTGTCGTTTGAGAAAATGCCTGATGGTGGGAATGTCAAAGTCGGGATCAAGATACGGACGACGCTCCAATTGGTTCAAGATCCACTGTCTCTTACAAGAGCAGTCGCACCAGGCTCAACAACGGCTCAAGGAGTCGACGAAGCTGCCCTTCGACAAGGTTGCTTCCCTAGACGCTGCTAACAACAACACCAACAACAATAACAACAACAACAACAACAACAACAATAGCAATTTCGCTGCAGCTTCAGGATTGGGGATGCCGGATCGCAAGGAGGATCCAATCTTGTCACCAAGACTGCCTCCAAGACCGGATCTGCTACCCCACGAGCTTCTGAGACCGGAAATAACGCGATTCCCCCTCTGGCGAGGACCTCCCTTTTTTCACCCCCTTTCGCCAATGCAGCTGCTGAACACCCCGTTCTTTCCGTTCCAGCAGCGATTTATGGTGCCTTACATCAACAACCAGGCGAGTCAGCAAGTTCCGGTAACCAGCTTGTCCAGTTCTTCCAGCGAAAGCGTCTCGCCTCGCTCCACTCCTTCTCCGAAAGAGTTTCTGATCGAAAAATCGGAAGCCAGCAGTCCACCGACTGTCGGTGACAAAGGACTCGCTTTTCTGAGGTCTCTTGGTCCAGAACAGGAGGAACCGATGGACCTCAGCAGGAAAAGCTCAGAAGTGAAGGACATCCTCGACGAAAGCTGTGATTCTGACGACAGTGTCGATGAAAAACCTGTAATTGCGGATAACCTTCAAGAAAAAGTCTCCACTGACGCTAATCCGCCTTTAGACCTCAGTTGGAAGACTTGACACTCTGTTTTCGGACTTTTTTGGAACAAACTCTCGAGTTTTGCCGGTAAATTGTTTAAAAAGTGCCTTTTTTTTTTTTTAATATTTATTTAGTGGTTGCACCACTTTGTTTTGTAAATTGTGACTTGGAGAAGATGGCCGTTCGTGAGAACAAAATGGCCGGTGATTTAAGTAGGTGCTAAAAATGGATTTTTTTTATGAGAAAGATATGAACTGATATAGAAGAGAGAACAAGTAAAGTAATAGAAGATAGTATTGTATATGCTCAAGTGTATGTAATTAATGACTAGGAATCGAGGCCAGTGTGTAAATAATAAAATGTTTAATAATAAATAATATTTAAATGATCTCTAGCTGTTTTATTAAATATTTATCCAATGTCCGATGTTGGATGTATGATGTCCGATGGTTTAACATTTGTTTTAAGGATCTGTTACTCATGGAAGGATTTACGGTATGTTTGTAGAACATTTTTAGCTGGAATATGTCAATACCTCAAGTTGATTTAGTTGAAGATCCGCGTATTATGTTGACGATGAGATCTTCTATCTCGTGACGCAGTTTATTTTCAATAGTTTGTTCCACAAGCATAAGCATATAAGAAGATCTAACCAGCGAGCACCGAGCCACTTGTTCCAAGAGGTGACTCGATACTTAAACATCGGTTGTACACCTATCTACCACCTATATCTACAAATACCTTACAGCTATACCCAAACAGATTGCCAAAGGATATATAGAATGAATAACGACTTATTACTTGTACTTAACCAGAGACTATTTGCTCAACTTTTATTTCTAGCAAAACTGTTACTGGGACATTCATTTTTTATTTTTTATTCTCATTCATCAATGATGATCTAATTCATTAAAATTATTTTTTTTTTTCTTTCAAACAATTTAGCCTTACACCTTTACTTTGTAAGCAACAAAAAGTTATTTAAAATTTCATTACAGACAGAATAGAAATAGCCGGAAGAAAGGTTGTTAATCGGAAAGTCCGAGGTGTTGTCGGGTCGTGGGACCAAGCATGAATCTTTTACCGGTATATCTCGGCAAAAGATATCGGCATCCAATCGATCCTATCACCGATACGATGAATGAACATTTTTCGTTTGGCTGGGCCTGGGTAACTCCTATAACACATGCACACACACACACACACACGATATGTGGGTACTAGATAGATCTATGGACACTAATGCAACAGCTAATGCAAGAGCCGAGGTACTCCCCATACGCATGTCGACAAACACTATTAAATAAAGTATACAGTGTACTAAAGCATACAAGTTTAGATTCTAAAGATGTGCATATGCCGTGTACTAAAACTCAAAGATTATACTTTTATGTCTTGAGATCAAAGTGCCTCCGTTATTCGACGCTGCGTGGCGCTTTCACCTCTCCTCTCTTGGGCACCGATCATCATCATCATCATCATCATCATCATCATGAACATGAGCATGACCATCATCAAAAGTTCGGGTCTTGCTGGGGGTTTACAACCGCGAGAGGTTAAGTAAAAATACATTTATGTTTATGTTTATACTTGTATATTTATATTGATACTTGTGGTCATATGTGAGGATGTGAGGATGTGTTGGTCGTGTGTGGGCGTCGTAGGCGTGCGTAGACGTGAGTAAACGCAGTTGGGTATGAAATCGACTCGGTATAGGCAGATTTGTTGGCCGAATAGGTGTGTGTCTGCGAGTGTGTGCAAGAAGTCACGGGGTTAGGTGGATATTATAGTCGTGATCGGCAAGAGAGTGAGATGACCGGGACGGGTATTAGCAGAGGTTCTTGCGAATAATATAAGCCGATATGAGTTAAGATTGCTGGCAAAGCGAGGCGAGGTGAGGCTGCACCTGCGTCGTCTATTTCCTCTGAGCTGGCTCAGGTTGACAGTCCGGGGTCACAGTCGCCATCAGTCGACGTCCAACGGCCGATTCGCCAATGGAAATTCATAATTCCCGGCGTTTTTCACGCGACGTTTACGATCGACACGACTCAAGGCATTTACTATTTCATTTGCTATTGACATTTTTTTACAAGCTAAATTACTTTCTACGCTTGTTCAGATAGATTTTTTTCAAAGGATTTTTACTTGACGTTTTTTGTTCTGATGATCAAATCGGTGAGGGAAAATTTTTAAAATTCTCGAGGAAGGAGTACTCTTATAAGCAGCAAGCTTGTCTAATTGGCTACCGATATTCCTCGGTCCATCTACGGGATTGTGTTCCTTGTATTGTCGACTGATCGTTCACCTCTACCAGGGAAATACCGGGGACAAACGAGACACGCTGTTCAACTGCTATAGAATTGCTTGCTATATTCAAAATGTATCAAATAAACTACTGGTTGCAAAATCAAGTCACGTATGGACGATTTTTACTTTAATACTGATTATTAGCTTGAAAAATTTATCTAAGAAAAAAAAAAAGAGTATTTAACACGTAATTTGGCATTTTTTTTTATCCAAGAAGATTTTCAATTTTATTTTATTTAAATGATAATAATAAATTTAACAAAATCTTTATATTGTACATAAGTAGCGAATAAAATCTAAAAATGAAATGAAGCATCGATGAGTTATCATTATTGTGATCCTCTCTCTTCCATCAGACTTTTGATGAGCAGTATTGCGTAATTTATTCACGTTATTTAATTCTCAGCGTTTCGTTTTATTGGGGGACATTACACTTGCTGGTGATGTTTATAACGTTAAAACGTTGGGAAGAATTTAATTCGTATGTTTATGATCACTTGGGAATTATCATGACGATTAGAGTGAATGCCTATACCTACAGCACCACTTACAGACACTATCAGAAAAAACAATTTCTAAATATTTTTCTTAAGATACTTTAACTCATAAAAGTTTTATTTTATAAGTTTAAATATAGCCCGATGAGACGCTCGATATTACGCATGATCTTGTACCCGGACTTGGGAATCAACACCCGAAAGATATTTAGTAACATAGGATCAGAGGACGACCGAGTATTATTACCAATTTATGTATGATTAAATCAATGTAAGACCACTGGATTGATGTAATACATCGATATGGATTTTTAAAAACTCCGTTTACAATATTAACATTTTAATAGACACTGATTGACCTCACGCCAGACAGATTTTGGCTATTTCTGACACGTCAGTAATGTTTTTCTGTCATATAATACCGATATATGATTATTTAATAATATGGTGATACGCTAATCGCAACCAATCGCAAATTTTTTTTTAACTTATCCACAATTAATATTCGGAGTTCTTTAAAATTTATTAATTTTTTAGTTTACCCACAGTCCTAATTGTCTTTGCTGTTGATAAACTTTAATTTATTTCATACAACCTCTTGGACTTGTCCAAAATGAGGAAATTTGTAAGCTATAGCGTTTTTTTTTTAAATTACAGGGCTGTTTTCTGATATTTATCCGCTGAAATAAATTTTTTTGCCTTGCAAAGCACTTAACTATCAAGATTGTTTAAAATATTCATTATAAAATCAATTTTTAAGTAATTTTTGTCTAAAAATTATAAATTTCCAGACCTAAGAATAAAAGAGTTTGACATTCAAGCTGACCAAAATATCCAATGATAATGATTGGTCCTTTGAGTTCGGAAAAGGTTAAGTGAGTACGACCTCATGATGCTAAATAATACCCAAGTGGTCAGCTACAATGTCACTCTTGGTAAGAACCTCAAAGATAATTCTCCAATAACACAACTTCGTCCCACTTAAATATTTTTGAAAAGAAAAAAAAATTTGCGTATACATTAATAATAAAGTTTGTCACGTCTAAAGTTAATTGTGCTAACAGTTAAAATAAATCCGTCCATTGAATCAGTGGTTAAAAATTTCCGAGGTTGGCCTTGGGAATAATGTACATTTTTAATGGATTATTATCATTATAACAATAAAATAAGAGACAGAGAACTGTCGTGAAAAATAAACGATGAACGATATTATAAATAACTTTAAATTATCCTTAATTAATAAGGTATACCTGTTGGCAGGGGGCCGACGACATTAATTCAACAGTTGAAGATTAAAATATACATATATAAGGTGTATATGCTTCAAATTCGATGTACCGGGAATCCCCGCGGTCTTTCTCTGCGTATTCGACGATACACCTTGCCATGACTGTAAAGCTCTGGACTTTATCGTCCACGCGCCCATATAATGCCACTTTCATTACCGTTCTTTCTAATTGCCCGGCATATTCGAAGATATACCCAACAGTACCAGACATATTATATATTATATGTAATTATATATGTCTGTATAGAGACAGAAATCACTCCTTACTCCTTACTCCTTCATAACATCATAACATGATTTTCATCTCTGCAGTCGCCATATTTATGCCCACATTATTTTTTATAAAATTTTAAACACCACGCCACTCTCTACGTGACATCCTGACATTTTACCTCTGACATCGTTTACTTCTTCTCATTTATTTATTATTTTATTGGCAACAATTATTCGCTAATTAATTAATTCCTCAGGTAAATTTAAATTGTTATTAATTTGGAAAAAAATTTATCATTCAGAATGATGATTAAGTATTAAATATTCAACATCCAAATTTTCTACAACCTGCACTAAGAAAATAGTTATTTTCGATACGTATGCGCAAAGGTATGTGCTTTGGTAAGCTTGAAATGACGTCATCGCACGAGGCTGAGATTATGAATGCATTTATAATCTCAGACGAGTGTTATCACTTCAAGTTTATTACCAAAATGCCAACCTTTGCGGATTTGTATCGAACAAAATTTTTTGTAATAGCAACGGCGAAACTCGGATTTGAGAGGACGCAAACAAAATTTTATTCATTCATGAACTGTCACACGTAAATAAATGACAAACTAAAATATTAGTAAAATTGTTTACAACAATCGACTTGTCGCAAAGATTTTTTTTTTCGATTCATACTCTCCCTGGCGGACGATTGTAGAAATAAATGAAACTAAATATCCTATAG